ACCTCGGTGGAAGCGGGCGTTAAATAAAGCTATTTCACACACATTTTAGCCTTCACTTGGCTAACATCAAAGTCTCAAAATTTAGCTCTACTTTGCTAAACACATATATGGACAAAACAAAAAACACAAATAACGACAAAACAAAAAAAAACCAAAAAAAACCCCACACAAATAGCAGAAGGGCCAACAGTGAAACCTATGAGTTAATCACGCACATTTTCCAATTGCTGCCGCCATCTTCTGCCAGACCCGGAGACACCATTAATTTTATATTTTGTCCCCCTTTCTATTTCCTTATTATTCATATTCGCTTAAATTTATTACCCTGGTTATATTGAATAATTTTTAGCATTACTGTTAACCTTAATAATGAACATATTTTATTTCCTACACTTTTAACATCTTATTCAATTTTAATACAAAGCATTTTTTTGATTTGCTAAACAAAATTACATGTTCAATTTTTCAGAAAAATATATTTATCCATAAATCAGCATGAATGCATATTTCCACCGGAGTTCTTTAGGTCAGGTTTCCATGTTTCCACATGTTTTCTTCCAGGGTACGCAATCCTAAGTCACAGCTTCAAATCTAATATGTCACACTGGGTTTTGTTTTGTTTTTTGGGTTTTTTTTTTCTGGTCTGATCGTCAAATGGTTGACTCTCTTGCACTTCATTGGACTTCAACGTTGTGTTTTCTGACGATACCGAAATCAAATATGTAACAGTATTTTTGTTACAAGTTAAACAATAGGCTATATTACAATACTTAAAACTAACACCAATTCTGGTGAGCCAGTCATGAATATCGGTTATACTTTGGCAACCCAACAAACGGTGTAAAATTATCACTGATAAAGGATTTATTCCCCAATAATAGTTACACCCTTTGGTGTAAATGGAGTATAACACTCACAGTGGGGTAGCGCATCCACAACACCTCACAGTTACACCTATTAAGGTGTTCAGTAGTCATGGATATCGGTTATACTTGTTGGGTGTGGCTCTTTTAGGAGTTTACCCTTGTGATAGTTTTACATTTTTAAAAACACTAGCTATGGTGTAAAGTTTACACTTCTTAAAGTTCACAACTTATTTTTGACAGTGTGTGTGTAATTCTTTTTAAATATGAATTATTGTATCGGTAAATATATATGCACAAGGCGCATTCTCTGAAACCTGAATACCTTAACATCATCCACACAAGTAGGCTAATAACTGCGTTACTAGCTATAGAACAGAAATGGAGAACACAATGAGTGGAATCAGAGCTCAACGAAAGTAAGTAAATATTTATTTATTTATTTATTTAGTTATTCCTTCATGATACCGGACAAAATAACGGCACACATACCGGTGAATGGGTCTACTTTGGGATCACAGATCGCTAGTAAATATTTTTAAATACATTTAAATGTGAGTAATTGTTCCTTGGTTTTCGCCTATCACTGTCGGCATACGACATCCAAATCGAAACTGCCTCGCTAGTTACTCGCAGCTAAATACGGTGTATAAGTTGAGAGAGGGGGGGGGGGGGAGAGAAATGGGGTAACGTCCACTCGACACAAACTAGGTCATTTCGGGACTAACATATGGCTCAATTTTATTTCAATAATTCGCTTGTGCGTAGGGGTCTTTAGCAGGACCCAGAGAAAACACACGAGGTTGGACAGGCGACCCTACTCCGTGTCACGTACAACGGGGGAATCGAAACCACACGCGCACACGTTAACCATTCTCCCCCACCCCACCCTCCCGGATGTAGGTAAGAATTGGCCATAATATTAATTAATGTATAATAATTATATATTTGCAAAACGCAGGAAAAACTTAAGTTATATTTGAAGTTTTGTTCTTGGTTCATTTGCATCAGTTTTTATTTTAAAAAAACCCACACAATACACACATTCTTCTCTTCGTCCATGGCGAAAAGTAAATATGGCTATTACATACGAATTAGACACAAAGCTAGTTCTGTGACATATTCCGCTTTCATTTTCAGTTTTAATGTAATTAAAAATATTTATTGAGTCTTGTAAAGAAGTAAAACGGACAAGAACCGTATAACAAAAAAATAGTACACTAATTTTTTAATATGGCGGCCATTCAGGACGAAAATACAGGTCTGTTCCATCCAGGGATGAAGTGAGAGGGACACAATGACGAGCTTTGCGTCATGGTTTTGTGTTTTGCGCCCCCTTGCAAATAGCCAAAACATCACGCGGTTTCACAGACATATAAATATTGTTTTTTGGGAGGCACGGGGGGGATCTTGTACCTCGTGCAAAATCACGGGTCATCACGCCCCGGATTCAATCACACCATGTGCGAAACTCAATACAAGGGTAACCATATAACGTTACGTGATACACACAGGCACTTGAAGGGATTAACATTTCTTAAATTATCTTGTCTAACATACTACAATAGTGACAAGGGTCAGATACCACCCGCCATATTGTTTTGATTTGGTAAAGAAATTTCTTCCTGGATATTTCACAATACGCACTACATGTTACACTCTCTTTCCGTTTTATTACAGTCTAGACTTTATTTAATTCTTATTCAACCCCCAATGTCACTAAATTGATCATTTCATAGCTTTATTATTTACAAAACCAACTTTAAGCAACATCAATTTCTGAATACTGACTTCGTTTGACCGGTGTTTGGGAAACCTCTTAATTCTGATTGGTTAAACATACATTATGCAAGAGCTAATTAAATTTGCCTATCGCGGGTCTTTATTTAGGCCTGAAATGTTATCTAAATTATTAATTAGAGCTGATCATTCTTAGTATAATAGCTCAAAAATAGATAAAGTAAAATGAAAATATTCAGACCCAAGTTATCACTGTTTGTAGTTTTGACAAGATGTGTGCATTGTGGTGACCAGGGCACTGGTATATTCAGGACTTAGCTTCGCTTTTCCCTTTGTAGATTAAATTGTTAAATGAAGAGAGAGGGAGAGAAATGGGGTTTAACGTCCAGTCGACACAAACTAGGTCATTTCGGGACTAACATATGGTTCAATTTTATTTCCACAATTGGCTTGCGTGCGCGTAAGAGTCTTTAGCAGTGGGAGACAACCGGAGAACCCGGAGAAAACCCACAAGGTTGGACAGGCGACCCTACTCGTTGTCACGTACAACCGGTGAATCGAAACCACGCCTGTTGATTGAATGACAGACCTTATGATACAACGCACACGCGTTACCCCCCCACCCCAATTTTTAAATGGCGAATCGTTCTAATATAGATAATTTAGTGAGGTTCCACAGGCAGTACGAACTACGAACTAAGAAGTGTTTTTGTGCTGACGTCATCACTTCGTGTGACGTCATTGACACAAGCGGCGTTTGGTTCGTCCATTTTCTACGAAGAAATCGGGAAAAGTTCGTGGTTAAAAAACGAAGTACGACATCGTGATTTTCTCGCTGATTTGTGGATGAAATTCGTATTTTTGCGGTTTTATAGACAGCTTGGACATTCAGTAGAAGGTTAATGAGCGTCAAAGTGGTAGGCAATTGTGCTGATTTGGGGCAAATTTTCGGGCTATGAAACTTGGTTTATTTTTTCCGACAGTCGGTAATAAGATCGAATCATCTCGAATTTGATAAGAAAAAAAAGAAAAAAAAAAAGGAAAAACCACAATGCAATGAGCTTCTTGGGGACTAAAATTTGATTTGATTTGATACTTTTTATTTAACCAAACTAAACAGTTTTATTCCTCTGTTTCATGTGAACAATCGTGGAACTAAAGATCGTACTTCGGACTTCGCATTTTGGCGGAAATCAAAAACGAAGTACGAAGCCCTGTTCGTAGTTCGTAGTTCGTACTGGTTCGGGACCTCTCTATATCTCGAGTATCCGATGCCATTGAGAGTTGATTATGGTCTTGTTTTGTTAATAAATGCCTAATTAATCGTTTATATAACATTTAAGGCCCAAAGAAGGACCTGCAATAGGCATATTTAGCTCTTACATAATTAGAGTGGTCCAACCAAGCTCAACAAATTTTACAACACATAGACAATATTTCGAACTTATTTTAGCATTATATGATAAAACTTATCATAAAAACTTTATTCATCAACAATCGAAGTCTGGCCAAGTTTGATTTTTGAAGATATAACCATTTTGGCATGTTTGAAAAATTGGTTGAAATTATCAAGGCAGTTAACTCTTTATGACAAAACGAGTTATAGTTCTTGGTTAAAATAAAAGTAGAATTACCATATATAGAGGGATAACTTGTGTTTTCCTTTTGCGTTCGTCACTTCCGATTGTTGAAACCTTTATTACGCATCTATCGTAACAATGATCTCTGTGTTAAATTATATTTGGAACGATTTTAACCAGTTCTATCAGACATATGTGATAATGGCTGACACCAATATTGTCTTTGAAGTTTGATTGGGTCTGTGAATTTGAACATGTTGTGCTCTAGGTGGCGTTGAATGGGATATGTTTAGTTTCTCATAAAGTTGTTTGTGTATTTCATTTTTGTCGCGAAGGGTTGTTAATGCAGATTTATGTTGTCTGTCGTCGAGTTTAGCTGTAGGATCCGTGTTTAGTAGTTTTTAGGTTGAACTGGGTTGAGAAAAGAAAGAACATCGAGCGGACCCAGACAAATAAAATTTTTGTAGCTCTTTGAATCTTGATATATACAAATATAATTCTACGTTTTTATACAACAAAGGACATGTTGATTGTTCCCTTTTGAGATTTTATAACATTTTATATAAGCTAATATATTGAAAAATCAGTCGTAAGTGATTGATGAGCCCGATCTCGTTAGAAGATTCCGATTCTGATCCAGAATAGTTCATTATATTGTAGTCATTTAGTTTCATCTAAGCAGCTAATCATGGCAACCAAATGTTGTTTTGGTTTTTGACCGTTATGTCTATAACTATTTTTAGTTCATTAATGTAAGAATTAATACCAGTAAATATCTTTTCAGTTGTCAAAATCATGGTTACAGACTCCTTAAAAGCATTGGCAAAGGAGCATTTGGTAAAGTTTATATGGGATTCGAAGATGACGACATCGAATGGTACGCTATAAAAGAAATATCAGCTGATTTGACGCACGAAAACCTCGACAAATTGAAGAACGAAGTTAAGGTGCTGGAACCTCTAAGTCATCCTAATATTGTAGAATTTGCAGATAGTTTTACAGAAGGTGCATGCTTTTACATAGTGCTGGAGTTCTGTAACGCAGGCGATTTGAATGATTTTATTCTGAATAATAAACTTAATTATTTAATCAAGCTGTCTTTTACTGAACAGATTTTTGAGGGCTTGTCATATCTTAATGAGCGTAAGATAATACATCGTGATATAAAACCAGATAACATAATGATAAATTATACACAAAATCGTTATACAATCAAAATAGCAGATTTTGGTTTGTCAAGATTTTGTCAAAACGTCACTGGGGAAGAACCTTATTACGAATTCTCGTACAGCCCAAAAGCACCGCTTTATTATAGTGCGCCAGAGTGTTTTAGTAAAAGAAGTATAACCATGGATAACCATAGAAATACACCCAAAGAAATCGTTATTAATGGAAAGGTAACCGCTACAAGCGATATCTTCAGCTTGGGGTGTCTCATAATGGCGATGTTTTCAGAAACCACAGTTCCCTGGGTTGAAAAAAAGCCGCTCTTAGCACCGTTTATTATTGTAAATCCGCCCATACAAATAGCCAGCGCCACTCCAGAACAAACAACTGACTATATCAGAAAAGTCATAAAAATTCCAGGCCAGCCTGTAATGGAAAAAAAATTTCAAGCTCTTATTGTTGACATGGTCGAGAGTGACTGGCGTGATCGACCTAATGCAAAAGAAGCTAGAGACAGAATGCAAACACTCCTCCGGTCTCCAGCAACCAACCAAGCAGGAATTAACTATCCTCAAGCAGGGAAGGGCTATCCCGAAGCTACAATACTGCAGCAACCAACCCAGCAGGAAATAATTACACCCGCAGCAGGAATTAACTATCCGCTAGCAGGAAATAATTGTCCCGCAGCAGGAAATAATTATCCCGCAGCAGGAATTAATTATCCCGCAGCAGGAATTCAGTATCCTCCAGCAGGAATTAAAATAGGATTTAATTATCCCGCACTAGGAATTAATTATCCTCCAGCAGGAATTAATTATCCCGCAGCAAAAATTAATTATCCTCCAGCAGGAATTAATTATCCTCCAGCAGGAATTAATTATTCCGCAGCTACAATGCCACAGGGATTCATTATCCCCCAGCAGCCAACCCAGCAACCAACAGGAGTTAATTATCCTCCAGCAGGAATTAATTATTCCGCAGCTACAGTGCCACAGGGATTCATTATCCCCCAGCAGCCAACCCAGCAACCAACCGATTTAACCGATTTAACAACCGGGTTAGCCGAGTTAACAGAGTTAGCAACCAAGTTAACAACCGAGTTAAGAACCCAGCCAACAACCGAGTTAACAACCCAGTTAACAACCCAGTTAGCACAGTTAACATTGTCGTTGATGAACAGGGATGACACCATATGACATTGATGGGCAAACTTCGACCCGCGGGCCAGACCCTTGCACTATATATGAAAATTTATAAGTAATTATATCTCTAAATGAAATACAAAATCGAAATTGCTTATTGTTTGGCCCAAACTCTAAACAGGCGTTACCCTCTCTAGGATCAATTGTCTTTGTAGGTCTATTTATAGCTTGCAGCGTCACTCAATGACGTAGTTACCCAATCGACATCACTTTTACGTCCATTTTACGTTATTGTTTGATTTGTTGACATGGTTTGATATTTCTCTGAATATAACTATGCAGCCGAATAAAAAGCGCAGAAAAAGATGCTTTGTTCCGTATTACTTTATTCAATAAAATAACATTTTATAATCTTTGTTCTAGGAGTCACAATTTTTATCCTATTTCACAAACCGTTTGAATATATCACCGTTACACCATAATTCGTGAAAATCGGACTGAATCATTCGGCAAGTGTATCCACCGCTTTATATAAGTAACAATTGGCCATTAGCTTCATTAATTTTCTTAAATCTATCCCATGATTATCTTCCACTCATTGTTCATAAATTGAACCCCATATATTACAGATTAACACATGTGTGTACATGTTTTTTAACGATATACTATGTAACCATAGACAATGGTAACTATAGCCAATTAAAACCACAGTGTTACTATGTAAATATGTATAAATATACTATACTGTCCATCTTTATACAATGACATTATTTATGAATAGTCCCAAGACGGACGAAAAGTACTTTAAAATGTTAAAATGTTATTAAACCAGTGTTGAAATCAGTTTGTGTCGGCATACCCTTTTTTATCTTTTCATCATTTACCGTGAAACAAAGTAGTGCAGCTTTGCGGTTGTGCTAATAATTTTGGATATATATATATATATATATATATATACACGTATTATATTGTCATTTATTAAACATATATGTTGTTTCGTATTAATTTCGTTAAATACCTTAATTGTCCATACCTTTCTAACCAGGATAATTATTTTTATACGTCCACATTTTCATGTGGACGTATATTGTCGTCGCCCCTCGACAGTTTAGTGGGGAGTACTACAGGGACAAACACAGACAGCGACAACTGTTGATAACTTTAATCGACGTGCCACCATTACAATAACATAATAGATAACCCGGATGTCTCGTATCACGAGAACTAACAATGAACGAAGGGACCTGTAACCTACAGGGACTTGTAACATATATAATTAACTATAATGGCGCGACCCTTTTTTTTCCTTTTCTTGTAGAACAATTTATGGAATTAAAAATAACTTTTAGACATGAAAACACTTAAAAGTCTTAATAAAGAACATAGTCTATTAGTTTTTTAGGCAACTGGCGTGTACGATTTCGTGGTAATCCTGGTATGTTAGAAGAAACACTTGTTGCTGTATTTGACAGGGTCTGGATGTTCAGGGTATCATCGATAAGATCAGATTCTGACGAACTGCTTGATGCTTCTGCCTCGCCACGGTCGGGTAGTTGAGCTGATGCAGTCGGGTCGAGTGGTGTGGTCAATACAGAAGGAATGATGACCGTATCATCTTCGCTATCATCTGAAGCAACGGAGCAAGCTGTGGGGGAAATATTTACCTTGTAAACCTCTGTAGGATGGACGGAGTATGTCTTCGAGCGGATTTGAGAGTTCCTCAGCTTATGAAGTTGTAGAAAGCCGTTCTGAACACCCGAGACAATATATTTGTCACGTGCCCTGTTTTTATCACGATCACAAAATAAATAAACTAAATCCCCAATACGGACGTTCTGTGGAGGACCAGACTTGCCAAGAGGGTTTTTTGACCGTTCACTGTAAGGATGATTTTGGTGACGTCGCACTTGTTGAGCATGTATGAGATTACTGTCATCGATGAGTAACTGCTCATTGGTGATTTGATCCCGCTTGCACCACATTTCCCTAGCCGACAAACCACTGGCCCGAAGACGAGAATTAACGCGCGCAATGACACAGCTTAATAAAACTGGGGTGATGGGGGATCCTGAAGGGTCCTGTCGGAGGATCTCATCCTCGATTTCTTGGATGGCGTGTTCAGCTACAGGGTTTTTATTTATGTTCTTTGTTCGGCCAAGTTCGACATAAACACCATGTTGGTTCAGTAAGCGGTCATTAACTATAGCTTGAAAACAGGGGCCTGGGTCACAGCGTATAATACTACAGCCTTCAACTGGTACCATCTCAATGCACAATTGGAGAAGGGCGTCCCGGATAGTTTGGTGCTTTTCATCCGGAACTAGGGTCGCAGAAGTTTTGGAGGTAACACATTCACGGAGTACGAGAATTTTCTGTTTGGCGCGACATAAAACATCTGCGGCGAAATAGGTTCCAACAGCTTTAGGTGGGGGTTCGCTAGTTTGTTGAATAATAGAAGATGGTATTTTGCGAAGAGCTGCACATTGTTGACAGTTTCTAGATACAGCGTCCACGGCTTGATCTAAATCCAATGCGTAGAAATATCTACGAACGATAAGACGTGTTTGGTAGCTTGAGGGGTGATCCAAACGAATGTGTAACGCAGTGAGTAGACCTAGTATCAGGTCCCTTGGGATGACGATTAAGTCTCGAGTCACAGCTAAAGGGTCAGACTTTTGAACGACTAGGGTTCCGTCTAATGCGATGGAGACGGTATTGAGGTACCGTTTGACGTCATGAATATTGGTAGATTTCTTTGATGGTCGAGTGCCCTGTGCAAGGTGGGCATGCACTCGACGCAGGTCCTTACAATCTTGCTGAGCCTGGCGCCACATGGAGCGATTAACAAATGGCAGCCTGACCGATCCATTCATAATATCTTTCACAGACACGGCACGAACAACAGAGTCCATGGTAACCGATATGAATGAGCACACTTGACAACTCATATCTTCACAATCTGGAGCATTTCGACTTCCAAAATCTGACGGAATGTTGACCTTGCCGGCTAGGTGGCGAATGAAAACTTGATATCGACTGGCAATGGATAGAAATGTGGTCACTCTTGGACTAGTAGAGTATTCACCCCTTTGTAACTTGGAATAAGCCTCAACACAAGGCTTACTGTCGGTAAGAATTTGAGCTACGTGACCAGACTGAATGATATAAGGAGCAAAGTGTTTGATGGATGCCGCAATAGATAAAGCTTCGATCTCACAGGGACTCCATCCATGTTTTCGTTCAGGGAGCTTCGCGCTGTAGAAACCAGCTAATTGTAGTTTGTCGTTTCTAATAAGGTATAATGTGGAGGCCAATCCAAAGCTTCTGACTGCCCCATCTGTGACTATCCATAACTGATCGTTGGGTCTTGGTAAAGTGATAGACTTCGCATCTTTTAAATATGCCTGTGCCAGGTGGAATGAAGCAGTCGTGTCATCCGTCCAGACGATTATATCTTTAGACTGAGCTCCTCCTCCCACTAGGCTATCGAGTGGACTCAAATATTTAGCACACTGCGGAAGTACACGTGAGAGGAACTTGTATGCACCTATAAAGGCTCGCAAGTCTTTAATAGTCTTAGGGATTGCACACGTCGATAGGGTGGCGATTCTGTGAGGGTTTGCAGTTAAAGATCCCTGACACCAGGTCCATCCAAGAATGGTAGTTTTTCTCGGTGCGATGATTGTTTTAGAGGCCTTTAAGTTGAGAGAGGCTGTGTGTAAGGCATTGAGAACAGCCTGCCAGTTCTTTAGGAGTTCTTCAGGAGTATTCCCCCCACAGTACAAATCATCGGCAATTTTGGCGACAAATCCCTGTTGTATCAAATCTCCCAGCACACGGCACATTAACTCTTCTAACGCTGTCTCTGAGCCCGGCATACCCATGGCACACCTAGTATATACCCGGATACCCTTAAATGGGGTAGCGACGCCGCAAAACTTCATAGAATCCGCGGATAAGGGAATTTGGTAAAAGGCATTTGACAAGTCTGTAGCAATTATGTAAGTCCAACTGGCAATTGACCGTAAGGTTGAATCGATATCTGGCATCAGGGATGGTTGTGGTTTAGCATACTTGCCGACTTCGCCAAACGCAGTCACCAGTCTGTATGTACCATTGGGCTTTTTGATCAAAAATGACGGATTTAAGTATTCGACTACCATATCCAGGTCCTCGGGTTTCCGGAAGACTCCGATGCTCTCAAGCTCATCAAATTTGGATTGTAGTTCATCTAGCTTATCTTTAGCATACTGGGGGACACGCCCTTTTCGTTGGGGTGGAAGGACTGGACCCATATTGACTTTTGCGGTGAAGTGACCAAATGCACCGTTATAGCCCTTGGGTGTTGTGCTGAAAACAGAGTCGTATTGTCGTAGTAGGGTGCGAAACTGCTTGTGAACAAGAGGTGACAGTATTTCATCCGGATCAAGCGTAACAGCAGATGAGGGCGGATTGGGCATGGATGTGGTCAGTGTGTGTATGTCATTGGCTGAATTCGGTGATACCAGGGGGTTATACACAGGTAGCACCTGAGAAAAGTGGCTGTTTCTGCGAACGATGATTGGTAAATCAGTAGAGTTAGGTATACGTAACTTTC